TGATCTTTCTGTCTTTTTGATGTAGGCATTTAAGGCTATGAATTTTCCTCTTGGAACTGCTTTTTCTCTGTTCCATAGTTTTTGATAGTTTGTGTCCCCTTTGTCATTCATTTCTATGAGTATTTTAAATTTCCAACTTAATTTTTATCATAGACCTAAGGATCAGTCAGCAACACATTTTTACTTTCCATCACTTTGTGTAGATTTGAGTGATATTTTTAGAAGTGAGTTTTACTTCACTGTGTTCTGCGAAGACACATGGTATGATTTCAATTTTTTAAAAACTTAGTGAACCATGTTTTGAGCCTACAATGTGATCAACCTTGGAGAATGCCCTTCTTGTACTAACAAGAAGAATGTATATTCAGTAATATTTGGTAGAAAGTTCTGTGAATGTCTTTTAGGTCCATTTGTTCTACATTCCCATTAAAGGTCAGTGTTTCTTTATTCATTTTCTGTTTTGATGGCCTGTCCCCTCTGTCAGTGGGGTGTTGACGTCCTTGGCATTTACAATGCTACTACTTATTTCCTAGCTTAAGTCTAGTAGAATTAGATTTTGAATCTGGGAGTTCCCATGTTAGGTGCATATTTATTTAGGATTGTTATGCCTTCTTGTTGAATTGCTCCCTTTACCATTACATAATGACCATCGTTGTCTTTTTTTTACCATTGTTGATTGAAAGTTTATTTTATCTGATATGAAAATGGCTATACCTGCTCATGTTTGGTTTCCATTTGCATGTAATATGTTTTCCATCCCTTTATCTTGAGTCTTTGTGAGTCCTTGAAGGTTAGATGAGACAGCATATACTTGGAGTGTGTTTTATCATCCATTCAGCTAGTCTATGTCTTTTATGTGGAGCATTAAGGTCATTCATATTCAGCGTTAGTATTGATATGTAGGATGCTCTTCTGTTCATCATGTTGGATGGTACCATGTTGTTTTGTTTTCCCTCTTGTGCTGTTGTTTTATAAGAGGTGTGACCTTGAACTTTTATGTGTGTTTTACACTTTTGGGTATCTATTGTGCTGTTCCATGTATAATGCAGTTCTGAGTATTTCCTATATGGGGAGGTATAGTGGTGAGAAATTCTGCTATTGTATGGTTGTGTGAAAAGGTCTTTATTTCTCCATTATATCTTCATTTATATTATTTCTTCATTTATAAAATTTCTCTTTGGAGGACACAAAATTCTTGGCTGACAATTCTGTTTAAGAAGACTGAAGATGGGGCCCTAATCCCTTCTGGCTACTTAAGTCTCCACTGAGAAGTATTCCATTAGCCTGATGGATTTTCCTTTGTATTTTAGTTGTTGCTTTTATCTTGCTGCTTGTAGAATTTTATTCTTCATTTCGACAGTGGCCAGGTTGATGACTCTGTATCTTAGAGATGTCCTATTTTGTATGAATCTTCCTGGTGTTTGATGACCATCTTGTATCTGGACATCTGATTCTCTGGAGAGAACAGGAAAGTTTTTCCCAATAATTCCCTTGGATAGGCTTTCTATGCTTTTTCCTTTTTCTTCTTCTCCCTCAGGGATGCCTATAATTCATATATTGGCTCCCTTCACACAGTCCCATATTTCCCTGAGTGATTGTTCATTCTTCTTTATTCTCTTTTCTGTATCACTAATGACTATGTTAACTCGACTTGTCTTCAGGTTCTAAAATTATTTCTTCTCCTTGTTTTAGCCTATTATGGAATTCTTCTGGTGTATTTTGAAATTCCCTAAATGACTTTTTCTTTTCTTTAAGTCTGTGGCACCCATTCTTTTATTGTCTATCTCTTTAATGAGTTTTTCATTTTGTTAATTGATGTTCTGAAATACGTTTCTGGCTTCTTTGTGTTAGTTTTCAACTTTCTCTTCAATTCCATTCACCTTATTTGCCATCTATATGCTGAATTCCACTTTTGACATTTCAACAATATTCTTTTGTAGGGGCCCATTGCTGTAAATCTATTGTGATCCCCTAGGAGATTCAAACATTTTTTTCCATGTTGCTGGAGTTATTTTGCTGGTTTCTTCTCGTGTGAAGCCTCTTCTCTCAGCTGAGGGATGATAGGTTTGCAGAGATCTGTTCTCCCTTGCTGGGGACTCTCCTACTTAGCGAGAAGGAGGTGAGGTTCTGGGTACTGCTCTTGTATCCCATTCTAGAATGTTGGCATGGCAAGGAAAGGCTGGGTGCACCAGGAGCCTGTAATGCTTTGTCCTACTGCCTGTAATTGCCACAGTTTAAGCCAGTGCTGGATGATCTTAGCACAGAGTGGTAGGTTCTTCCCCCAGCTGCTGTTGGCTGCTTGGGTTGGGGACTGGATGAGACCCTTTCCATGGAAGCTGGCATTGTGGGGGGTTGTTCTGCCTGGTCTCATCAGGAGTTTGTAGTGGAAGCTTGGTGAGGATATCTGGGCAGTCACTGTGTGTCTCTGGGCTGTGAATATTTGCTGCAACTGGGTTTAGTTACCATGATAGCTTTAGGCTGGTGGATTCCTGGTGGAGCATTGGACTATGGAGTACTTTTGCCAGGTGGCCAGTGGGAACTGTGGGCCCAGAGCCACATGCTCTGTAGCAGTGATGGAGTCTTGGGGGTGGAGTCTTAGGGACAGAGACAATTCTGGAGCCTCGGGGATGGAGCCTCAGAGATGGGGAGAAATGCTAAGGTGTTGTGTATAGGACTGCAGGGCCTGGCAGCAGTCATGGTGCCTCTTGGGAAGCCCAGAACTGGAGCATTTGTGGTCCATCTTGGGCCCAGAAGCAGCAGGAGTCTCAGAATTGGGCTGCAGCCTGGAGGCAGGGCAGGAGCAGTCTGGGTAGGACAGTGGGATAAGACAGCAGCATGGGAACCACAGAGAAGGAACCATGCAGGGCAAGGTGGCATCATAGGGGTCGCAGTTGTAGGGCTGCAGGGCTGGTTGGCAGGCAGCCAGGGCTCTCCCCTGGCCCATGTCCTAGGGCAGCAGTCACCACAAGCTTCTCAGGTTGTGTCTGTTGTGCCTGCTCTGTGCAAATCTACTGTTGGCAGGGGTGCTGAGCTCCCTCTCACAGGGTGTGAAAGAGTGTTGACTCTGCCTGCTTCCTCCCTGGCCAAGAGTGAGCAATGTGTAAGTGGCTGTGGCAAAGCTGAGCCCCATGCAGATCTGGAGGCGGACCTGAGAACTTGACATTAATTCCAGTAACCTGGGAACAGAAGCCACCAGGTCCCTGCTGCACCAGCACTTCAGTGCAATGTCACTGTACAGACTCTAAGCAGCCCCCTGATCAGGCCAAATTTAATCTAGTGGGGGTCCCCTCACACACAGACCACGGTGTGTATGTGGAGAGCATGGAGCCCCTGAGTTCTCTTCTCCTGTCCTTCCCCACTGGGGACTCCTCCCCAAGGTACCTCCCAATCTTGCAGAATAAATCTCCCTGCCACCTCCTCCTTCACTCTGAATGTCCCCATTGCTTCTCCAGTGGTTCACAGTGCTCTTTCCCAGATGGTCACCCAAAGGTGGGCACACACCTGCAACATTTGATCCTCTTCTTTTTTTTTTTTTTTTGAGACAGAGTCTTGCTTTGTTGCCCAGGCTAGAGTGAGTGCCGTGGTGTCAGCTTAGCTCCTGGGCTCAAGCAATCCTTCTGCCTCAGGCTCCCGAGTAGCTGGGACTACAGGCATGCGCCACCATGCCCGGCTAATTTTTTCTATATATATTAGTTGGCCAATTAATTTCTTTCTATTTATAGTAGAGACGGGGTCTCACTCTTGCTCAGGCTGGTTTCGAACTCCTGACCTCGAGCAATCTGCCCTCCTCAGCCTCCCAGAGAGCTAGGATTACAGGCGTGAGCCACCGCGCCCGGCCAGATCCTCTTCTTGAAAGCTGTGCTCTGGCTGCTTCTAGTCCACCCCCTTGCCCCGCCCCCTCCACCCCCCAGAAATATAACTTTGAAGACAAGAACAGTCAATCATTTTGTTCTATATTAAAAAAAACACATAAAAACACAGAAAATATTCCACAAGATAGCTTACAATGTGAAAAGCATATTTATAAAAATAAGAAGGAATGCATAAGCACAAGGTACAGAATTGTGGTCATTTCATACAGTGGGAAGTTCAGGGACAGTGAGACACAATATATGAGTTGACACTATTGTTGTTAATATACAGGCTTCATTTTCAGTGGAGATTTCACAGGTTATGAGACTCGGTAGCTCAGCCTGGGCTTTGAGAGTGGATGAATTGGCTTCTTGCGGGTTCCCAACTCCAGCCCTGAGATGTGGAGAGGCCAGGTCTTCAGGACAGCATGTTCCACCCTAATCTTCTCCTCTCTCATTAATTTTCCTGATGATATGAGTTGGCTTTTGGAAAGAACATTCACCATTACATGAACATATTGATATTTATTCATACTTTATGCATGTTGAGTTGTCTTGAGTTGACTTGAAGGAGAAAGACGGAGATTTCAGTCTAGACCCATGAGATAAGAAAGAAATTTCAAATAAAACTTCAGGAGTCAGACTTTGCAAGATGTTCTGTGTTAATAATGCAGTATCAATATTTTTGTAGTTGTTAACTTCCTGAAGTTTAGAATAAAAAATTAAGAACTTGAAAAATGTTCTCAATTTGCATTTAATACCACTTTCAAAATAGTGAAATAAACATTTGAATTTATTCTACCTTTTCCAACATAACAATGCCTATATATTCATTTGGCAGGGGAACGTTGCATGATACAAATGGAATCACACGTAGCTCTCAATAAAGGCAGTGAAACATTAAAATGTTATATGATTCTGGAGGTAAAAAATTAAATTTGAAATTTGGACCTTTGAGGTTGGTCAGTGATTGGGTTGAAGTCGGGCCCTTATTAGGGGTTGTGTTAAACAACAAATGCTGTCTGAAACTTTTCCGTGGCTCCCCCTACATCTAGGGTGAGAATTGGTTATCTTCCTGTGTGATGTGCTATCTGAGAACTCTGTAAACTGTGAAACTTGTACAATGGCAACCACATCCTCTTCATTTTCCACTTTTGCTAGACCCCTGTGTACAGTCCAACAGAAGTGGCACCATGTCCTCCAATCTCATGCCTCTCCTATGTCTAGGTGAGTCCTGGAACGGGAGGGAGGAGGGTATTAGGATGGAAAATGATGTCCTGAAGACCTGGGCTCTCCACATCCCAGGGCTGGAGGTGGAAATCCATAGGAAGCCAAGTTCATCCATCCTCTGAGCCCAGGCTGAGCTACCAAGTCTGATATCCATGACAAGGCCCAGTTATAGGGAGGGCAGGATTCATTTTGGGACAAGTCATCTCTGATGTGGTTTTTCCTGCAGGATTCTACCTAGGCCACAGGACCTTCACACACATGGGTGAGTCCCCTGAATTCTCAGGATGCAGTGGTGGCTAAACACAAAGGGATCCCCCAGGTGGAAAGAATGGAGCATGGGGTCGAGTTGACACAGGTGATGTTGGAAGGGCTTTGTAGTGATTCTCCTTGGGGCATAGTAGTGAAGTCCCCTGGAGACCCTGGACCCTCATTTTGTCCTGGAGACCCTCCATAGACACCCCCTCTAGGAACAGCCTGTTCCTGGAGGAGCCTGTAATGTTTAGAACTCGGGGTATCTGGGGATGCACTGAAATGATCTCTGTCAGACGGGAAGGACTCCATGCTGGGCTCCATGGAACTCTTTGAGCACCAGGAGTAACGCAGTTTCTCCTGCCCGCCTGTGAGTCTGAGCTAAAGGGCTTCCTGCTGCCAGGGTCTGAGGAGGGACCTATCAGCAGGCAGTGACCTCATGGACATAGGAGCACATTCCTGGGGAGGAGAACTATTGCAGTGAGTTTCACAAGTTGCTTTCTATGGCTTGAATCCAGTAGATTTCCCCTTTATGACATGTAGGTATTGTTACTGTAATAGAGATATTTAAGAGCAACCTTGTCGAGCATTTTATCAACACTCTAAGTAAATCTTGTCCTGGGAAGACCTGCCTTGTCCATGCTGGGGTGCACTGTGCCCCTGAGCCACCAGCGGGTACCCCTGGGTGTCTGAGGGCTCCAGTTTGGGGTAAAATCCTTGGAAGAATGTGAAGGAGGAAAAGCCCCCACAGGACAGTGGGGGCAGGGGCGGCTCCACATTTTCTTCCCTAAGACTTGCCTCGTCCTGTCCCAGGTGGTCACAACCAGCCTTCCCTGTCAGCCTCGCCGAGCCCTGTGGTCCCCCTAGGAGGACATGTGACACTTCGCTGTTATTCCCACCTTTCATTTGTCATAGTCAAACTATCCAAAAGAGTTGGGAGCAACATCTCTGAGATCTACAGTGTCCTTTCTCACAACACCTTTGCCTTCAACCCGGTCACCACAGCACATGCAGGGACCTACAGATGTTCTGTATCTTACACCCAGAATCCCTCTGTGTGGTCAGCACTCAGCGAACCCCTGGAGATCATGGTCACAGGTAGGAGAAGCCCATCCCAGCCCATGTCCACCTGTGTCCAGATGGCCCTTGTCAGAGTCCACACCCAGCGTACCCAGAGAGTCATTGTAGGATTCCTGGCCAGGCCTAACTGTGGACAAGAGGCCATCTGACAATTTAGAGAGAGGATATTTAATGTGAGGAGTTGGGTACCCAGGTGAAGAGGGAATGAGGCAGTGAAGAAAGAGGAGAATCTACCTAGTGATTAGAGAGAATAGAGTGTGGGTGCCAGGTACAAGAAGAGAGGACCCAAGGAGGAGTGGTGTCCCCTGAGCCGCCTGACCCCAGCACCAGCCTTCCTACGAGGGAAGTTGTTATTTTGTCATAGAGGAGCCAGAGCCTTGGGGAAGACACGGCCCCCTGGGAGATGCCTCTAGAGGCTTGGTTGGGGCATGGATGGGGCAATGTTACCTTCCTCCCCTCCTCCTGCCAAGTCTCCTGACAGTCATCTCCTTTGCTCTAGTGAATGTGCAGAATGTCTCCAGGAAAGTTAGGAACCACATCCTACAGGGTCACCCTGGCCCACCCTATGGAGCTGGGAGGGGATGGGTCGTGGAGTGGGCCTCACAGTCTGAGAGCCTAGAAAGAACAAAGAAGGTGTTGTGGCCATTGTCCAGGTGAGAGTAAAGCAGGTTGAGGTGAGGCAGGGAGATCAAGGATACAAAAGACACCATCCAGATGATGAAGGATGATGCCCAGAGAAAATGCAAGCTCACAGTCAGGAGAGACAGGCAGGCTTTGGTGATGATGGAGAAACTTCACTCCTGTGTTCTCAGGGCACGGGCTGAGGCAGGAGGACACCTATAATCTCACGGTCTCTTTGCTCCAGGTGTGTTCAGGAAACCCTCCATCTCAGCATTCCCAAGCTCCTTAGTGCACACAGGAAGCAGTGTGACCCTGAGCTGTCTCTCAGAACTGGACTTTGATAAATTTATCCTGCACAAGGATGGGACCACACAGCATTCCCAGCTGCCTGCCAAGAGGGTCCATGCTGAGCTCCCCTACACCCAGGCTGACTTCTCCATAGATACCATGATGCCCACCCATGCAGGGACCTACAGATGCTACGGTTCTCTCAGTCACTCTCCCTGTCAGTGGTCAGCTCCCAGTGACCCCCTGGACGTTGTGATCACCGGTGAGTGTGGCCAGACCAGTCCCTGGTCTTTTCATGCTCTATAGGCTTCAGGGGGTGACATGGTTATTGATCACAATGTTAGTGCAGTCAGAAAAAAACAGGCACAAGACATACCGTGAACCTCTGTAGAAAGGGGTGGGGGTGCAACAAGGAAAAGTCCAACCAACATAGAATGTATTATAACTAAAGAGAAAACAAATTAGTCAGTGACAGACACGGTGAATGACATACTAAGAGAGATACATGAACCTAGAGTCGGGACTGGATTCCCACCACTCAGGCCCTGAGGGGCCTTTTGGGGTCAGGTTCTCACCCTGAAACCGCAGGCCCGTTCCTCTCCACCAGGAGACACAGTGACACACACGTCCCCCAGCCAGGGCCCTGGGGGATCTTAATGGAGATGGGGACCCTGAGGAGTTGCTCAGCAGTGTGGTGTGACTCGTCCTTCTGCCCAAAGAGGGAGAAGTGGTCACTTGCAACCTCCCCAAGAACAGGCACACCTAACACCTTGGGAGGTGTGGATACACCAGCCGGTTCCAGTGGACTCAGCCTGTGATGTTCTGACAGATCCTGTGGAGATTATTGCACTTTTCAGCATGTAAAGTTGGAAACAGTGAGACCCATAGCCTCATAGCTCCAGGTCAGGGGACGTAAGGCCAGTGCCATGTTTTCTGAGGCTCTCCAAAGAAGATAATTATTTCCATGTTCCAGGAGGGCCTCACACTATATATGGGTTTAAGGGGCAGTAAGACATGAAGACACAGTAAAAAAATAATGGAAAATTAATGAAAACCAGAAGAATTACAAAGACCCACAACGTGAGTCAAGATTGCAGAGACTAAAATGTTGTTGAGAGAAGCACTAGCAGAGCTAGAGTTTGGTCCCAAGACAAGACCAGGCAGAGAGAATTTTTTGTTCTTTCACTCAGGATAATGTGATATGTTTTGTGTTGTAAAATCAAACTCTCTTTTTCTCCTAGGACAATATGAAAAGCCTTCTCTCTCCACCCATGTGGGCCCCACGATGGGCTCAGGAGAGAACATGACCTTGTCCTGCAGCTCTAAGACCCGATTTGACAAGTACCATCTGTCCAGGGAGGGGGAGGCCCATGACCGCTGGCTCAGTGAACGCCAGAGCCACAATGGAACATTCCAAGTCTACCTACCTCTGGGCTCTGAAACCCCTTCCCACGGAGGGACCTATAGATGCTACGGCTACTTCTATTTCTCCCCCCATAAGTGGTCATCCCCAAGTGACCCCCTGCACCTTTCAGTCACAGGTGAGGATCCCATACCTGCTGCATACCCTGGGACCTACTGCATCATAGAGCTGTGTCTGAGGGGTGTTCTGATGAGACACAGGGATCTTAGAATCTGGACAAATGACCCATGAGAAATGCAGAGAGCGAAACAGAAGCTGTGGAGGAGAGGGACTGTCAGTTTAGGAAGGTAGAGAAGTCACCTCCAAATCTCCATCTTCCTCCTGTACAGAGGCCACTTGGGGGTCCTGCATACCCAGGTGAGTGAGGAAAGGGCTCAGGAGGAGGTGAGGCCAGATGCAGTTTGGGAAGATCAGAGGTTGCATCCACCGCTCAGCTTTATCCGTCTTCCAGAAGCCATTCCTCACCTCTCCCCCACAGACAGAGCTCCCTGCTGAGAAACGTGGGTATTATCACCCCAAAAGGAGAAAACATCTCTTGATTATGGGCTCCTTCTTCATCAGGCATCTCCTAGTGTTTGCTGCACATTCACGTCCCAGAGGGAGGGAGTGTCCCTGCCCCTGGGATCCTGTGAGATGGTCTGCAGGGCCCAAACCAGTCAGTAGGTGAAGACAGAGTGCGGGGAGGACAGGGGACCGACATTGCCCTAGACTGTAGACAGTGATCCTAGCTCACTGGTGCAAGGAATGACCCTTGCTGACCCCTTCTCTGTCCTTTTCCAGGAACCCCTAAGAGTACTTGTCTATCACCCATAGAATCAACCTCCAAATCCAGTAAGTAAAGGAGGCTCTTAGCTTCATGTGTGAATCCCTGGGGAGACAGAAGGCTCGTGTGTGCGTGATGGCTTTGCCACCTCCCAGCCCTAGGACCGTGGTCTGGTCAACTCCAATGTCTGCTTCATAGATTCTCGATGGGCATTTGAGACACTGTGGTCAGCGTGGGGATCAGTGGTGGCATTTAGACTCACGCCCTGGGATCAGGGTCTCATCCAAAAGGGAGGAAGGGGCCAGAGGGAACCTGACCACTCCAGAGAAGTGATGCTTGTCATCCCTCCATCAAGGTCTGTGAAAATGGGAGTGTGGTCCATATTTTAATGTCCTATGATCTGAATACTCAAGTTTAGATGCGAAAGTGTCCTGTATTCATAAGAATTTCATTCCAGTGTCATGTGAGGGAGGAGAAAAATCATAACAAATAAATTAATTAATTGATTTAAAATTCCTTAACTTCATATTCATTAAGATGGTCATGTGATAAAAAAAGCCTTAGTGTATCATTTAGAACGGTTGGTAGGGAAGGTCCTACAGAGGAGGTGACATTTAAGGCATTATCTCTGTGACAAGGGGAGCCAGTGTTGAGAATACTGGTGGAAGGACTTTCCCAGCAGTTGGAACAGCGCGTGCCCTGAACTTAACCTGGCAGTGGCTTGGTGTGTTCACAGCACCCATGTGGCTGCGTGTGGTCGGGGAGGTGGAGTTGATAGAACTAGACAGGAGTCAGCTTGCTTACGGGAAGGATTCTAAGCAATCATAAAGAGTTTCAATTGTATTCTGGCCAAGATGTGAAGCCAGTAAGAGATTTCAATCAGAAAAATGTCATGATATGCATCCTATTTCAGAAATAAAAATTGCCAGATATGAAAAGAAATTATTTTAGGGAAACAGGAGTGGAATGTGTATGACTGGGGAAGTCTTCAACATCCTTGTAGAGAAAATTCATGGTGGCTTAGACATGAAAGTGCCAGAGAAGGAGTTGAGAAATTGAGTTCAGGACACACTCAGAGCTGGACTCATTAAGAGGGAGATTTCAGAACCTAGATCTGGTATTTCTCAGCAGAGTGGCGTTGGACATACTCATTTCTCTCTAAGCCTCTGTTTCAGTTGATGGAAACTATACTTGACCTATCAGAGAAAGAAATAGCTCAACAAGGATTCTAGTGAGGGAACAGACATCATCCTTGAAAGAGAAAGACTGAAGTCATAATCTTGGGCATAAGTGATGGCTCTGCTGGTTCTAGTCACTTAATGTCACAAAGCAACAATTTCCCTAAACAGGACACTAGGCTAATGGACCCTCCTTCCTTCTGCCAAGCATAACTGTAGTCACAAATGTGAAAGTCCTCTTGCCTCCAGAAGGGGTCCTAGTACAGAGAATGTGCTCATATATGACACATCCCATTCCCATCCCACTTCTTCTCTCTTTAATACTCCACCCACCCCACTCTTAGTTATGACTGGGAGGGAGTATTAATATGCTGTGTCGCAAGTTCAAATCTCAGCAACCAGCACTAGAAACATCCTCAGCTCCAAGAAAGTACGGTTGTGCCAGAGTCAGGAGGACCAAGGGGAAATGGTGATCAGCTATGGTAGATACAGAGAGTTTCCTTTTCATGCAAAAACGAACTGCCTTGTCTCATGAGGATGTGGGGGAGTGGGGCACATTTCAGCCTGGTAGATCTAGATTCAGACCTCTGCATATCTCTTCCTGGTTGATTGATTTGGAAAACTGTCTTCACTGCTCTTTGAATTTTTTTTCATCTGTTGGAAACTGGAGAAAGCCAATGTTCAGTTTTAGGAATGTTGGGGAGTCCAACATAGAGTGCATGATGAGTCTAGCATGTACTGGCACAAAATAGGCAACCAGCCAATTGGAGCTTTTGTTGTTCGCTTGTTGACAGAAGCAGGTCCACCTCCAGGACAGTTCCATAAACAGGACATTCTCATTGGACTCTCAGGAGTCATCATCTCCATTGGCATTTTCCTCTCTGTTCTTCTTGGTTACTGGTGTTCTACCAAAAATCGTAAGTCTGAAACGGGAGAGGACAGTATCATGTGAGTGGAGTGGGGTTTGTTTGGGACACAAAGGTGCATGTTCACTTCCTGTGGGTTGATCGTGCTTCTGTCGAGGTTCTTTTTGGAGGATGCCTACCCCTTTCCTTAACGGACCAACCAGCCTTCCCTTGCCCTTCCTCCTCCCCAGCTCTGGGGAGGCCACTGGTGTGCAAGAAGGGATGGTCCAGAAGAGAGGCAGTAGGATGGGGCACAGGACTGGAGGGGACCCTGGCTCAGTCACGGTCAACCCAGAGTTGTTGATGGGGCAGTTCTCTGAATTTAGTGGGAGAGACTGGCTGAGAAACCCCGGGCACACCCTGGTCTCATTCTGGTCTCGTGTCTCTATGTATGATATGAGGATCTGGAAGAGCCTCTCAAGAGCCTTGGCTCCCTCTTTTATCCCACAGATCCTGCCATCATGGACACAGAGCCCATGGAAGTCCAAATAATGGAGAGAAATGTGAGTTCTCGGGCCCAACCCCTCACTACAGTTTCATCCTCTCCATATATAAAATAACCTTCCCTTTAATTGTTAAATATCACCCTCTTCTCACCTGTCGCCTCTCAGGACCCTGCAGCAGAAGAAACACAGGAGATAGTATATGCTCAGCTAAACCAGCACGCACTCACACGGAGAGAATTCAGTCTCACTTCCCAGTGTTCCAGATACCGCTTGGATGAGCCCAGTACCTGGGTGGACCTCCACACTTGCCACGTGGACCACGCTGAGGCCAGACCTGACCCTGGTCTCTGAACATGCAGAGCATTGCCACGCAAGGTCCTGGTTCCAGCCCCAGGAGGATTTCCTCCATGGACGCTCATCCTCCTTCTCAAACCATGACAACATCTCTGGGTAACAACAGTAGAGTCAGAATACTTGTGGATCATCTTAAAATCCCAGAGGACCTTCCTAGACACCCAGCTATTCTAGGACTCTATTTTGAGTAACCTGTCATTTAAGGAGGTTACTCACCCACACATTCTGCACATCTCATTATTACCATCTTTTTATGAAACTCTATGAAGTGATTCTAGAACGCTTGATGTGTATGCTCAGCCAGTTTAGTCTTCAAATTACTCAATAAAGTTTTGCAGAGATGAAGTGTATTCGACATCACTACTTTTGAATGTAGTAGCCACGAGCCACCTGTGGCTATTTTAATTAAAATTGGAATAGATTAAATTAAATAAAGTTTAAAATTCAATTCCTCAGCCATGTGAGCTGCAACTTGAGTGCTTCAAATCCATGTGTGGCCACTGCCTGCCATGCGGAACAGCATAAATATAGTCTCCACTGCTGGAGAACGTTCTAGCTCCTCTAGGTTAAAGGGACAAATTGAAGACAGAGCCCACTGTCTCTGGAGGCCAGTTTCATGGAAGAGACCTACAGGTAAAGGTAATATTTAAGATCTGTGATGAGGCATCTTTGTTTAACGGAATATGGGTTCAAAGCAGAGTCCCCTCCTGGAATGTCTTATCACCTCTTATCTTCGTGCAAATTTCTGCCATAGAGATTTTCATCCAAACTCTGACAATGTCACTTCCTATTAGCACATTATATTGGCCCCAGTGTCATAAGAAAGTAAATATCTGTTCTTAGCACAATTACACTCTGGAAGACAATTCCTGATGAGCTCTACCTCTGACCCTTTATTCTTTTTGTTTATATTTGAATCGACATCTGCACAAAACAACTCAAAAACCACTATGTACAGCAATCTGTCACTTATCTTGTGCAATTAGCACATGTGGTTTCTTCAGCTGGTAATTTCTGGAGCATCTCAGTGTTGGCATCCATTTTCATACACACGTTTTTATCTCACGGTCTAAGTTAGGTGGGTCTACTGACCCCACAGTGCCTGTGACACAACTTCCACGTGCCCACGATGCTACCTTTTTACTGCCTGGTCTGCGCCGGTCTGTCCTGCCTGAACTGTCGGCTTCCTGCGGCAGCAGTGGAGTCTGGTCCGCTCCGGGACTCAAGTCAGTCTCCAGGGATCCTGCCTGCTGGACGTCTCAGGAAACACACGTCTGGTGAGTGATGAGGGTTCTCAACCCCTCCAGAGAGAGGCCTGTGAGGCAAACTTCAGAGCCCTTGACGTGAGTAGCTTCTCTGCCTCTCTGGGCCAAGGGGAGGATTATGCTTCCTCCGCCGACTGAGATGTGTGGGGCAAGTGGCAAGTGCTGGTCAGCGGGTGTGAGTGAGCAACAGACACGCGCCACGCCTGGCTATTGCAGAGCGGCCCTTACTGCTGCACATTCCACAGCCAGGCCGACCTGCAGGAATCCCGTCTGCATAAGAAACGGAAGGGGTTCTGCTCCCCAAACCACTGCATGAAGGACGGCTACTCTGCAGAGTCAACTGAGACTAGAACGAAACTGCGTGATCAAGAAAGAAAGTTAGTTTTGTTTTCACGACATAAACAATCCTCTCAAAAATAACAGAGTGCGACCTTTTTTTAAAATTCACTTACAACAAATGACAAATGGCACCTGATACAACAGTTCAAGAGTTCTATGCTCCTGCAGTTTAACTGTACTCACGTCTGGCTTCAACATTTATATGGTAGAAGGGTGGATTAACCAAGTTTCCACTCATAGAAGTATCATGCCCCTTTATTTTCTTTCTTATAAGTAATTATTACTTGACCTGAGAAATCATAACTTTCACAACTGTTTGGAATGGGAACTATTTGCACTTTTTTCATTCTTCCAAGTTTGTTAATTTTCACTTTCTCTTGATTTATTTGCACTGTATTTACTTTATTATTTTATGAATAATTCAAATTCTTGAGAAGCATAAGAAAGGTTTACATTTGAGATAACCCAAAAAATCGGTAGTCCCCTTTCCAAACTCCCCTGTTGTACTAATTTTTGAGTTTAATGTTTTTCTTAAGATGAGGACATCTGAACAAAAGCAATTCCAACCAGGCTGGTCTCAATTATGGGGCAACTGGGGTGTTGGTCCAGGTCAGCTGCACCTTCTTCTTGCAGACTCCTGTGTGTCTGGGTGTTTTTATACCTGTCCGTCCCTTTAGGGAGGGTGTGGTCAGTTTTTGTCCTCCAGGCGGGGGCACCGGCTGCCTTGGGGCAGCAGCACCGATCAGCCTTTAACCTGTCCCATAAGGGCCGCCCTGGGGCTCGGAGTCTGCAGGCCCCACATTTGTATCCCAGGAGAACGCCAGTGCTCCTCATGGGGCAGCCCGTGGACATAGACTGGCAGATGAGTCTCTGAGTCTGTCTGGCCCTGGGATGGGCTCGTGCCACAGCTGAGTCACTTTGAGGTGTAGCTCGTACACCTCCTACACCTCCTGTGGGTCAGATCGCGCCGCTCTGTGATCCTGGCATGTTCTGCCAGCGTCCCTTCTGGTGGGTCTCGGCTGGGTGTGAGGGATTCAGACCAGGGCTGAGCCGACCATGGCGTGGTGGCGCAGGCACTGCCCTGCCATGAGGACACACGGAGCGTTTTCTACTCCAAGGAGCCGCTACCCCAACCCCCAAGTCGCGCGTGGAGAACTACGATGCTACCCAGCTCCTGTCGGCTCCAGGACTCGTCCCAGTGAGCAGACGCCCTTCACGCGCTGCGGAGGAAGGCTCTGTGCATGGGGCAGCCAGTGACGGAACCTCTCTGCTCTGTGTCCTCTCATTGCTGACGTGGGGCCCTGCGACGACCCTTCCTTCTCTCAGTACCCAGGTCAACCCCTCCCCAGACTCTCTGCCTCCTGGGGAATTTCTGCTCTGCAGCTTTGGTGAACTCCTGCGGCACTTCTGCTCCGCTCCCCACAGGCACTTTCGTACGGGCAGAGACCGGGCAGCCCTGGGGTGAGGGGACTGGTGAGCAGTGTGAAAACTCCCATTCCTGGAAAGTGTGTCATTTTTGACAGTGTACGTGGGGCAGTGTCCTCAATGTGACCTTGCATTCCCTTAAATTCAGTGGGTTCTGAGTCTATAAACTGGATAGAGTCTAGGAATTATTTCAGGGTCTGAAGGCTTTCTGTTTCTCGAAGTCAGGTTAGCCTTTTGCTCACCTGACAGGGACATTTTCTGCTTATACAAATAAAGTAAAAATTTAGAGGGTTTCATATCTATTTCATTTCTTGGAGCACCATGACCATGTAGCCAACACCGTAGGTCTGCATGAGTCAGACCGTTCTCAGTGCTGCTTCAACTCTGCTGCCCAGGAAGTAGCCACAGCCACCTTGTCTTCGGTGCCTGAGTTCTGCCACTGGGTCCTCACACTCTGGGATTGAATTAGTCCCGTGGCATTTAGGTTTCCCAGTTGAGTGGCTGCAGTTTCCAGCCAGTAAGTTCTGTCCTACAGAGAAGAGCAAACACAGAGCTCTTCAAGAATGCCAGGGCTCCCCCACAAGTTTATTCCTCACAGTGTTGCTAAAAGGTAAATCCCCTGAACTCTTCCAGTGTGGCTGAGTAGGTCTTAATTGATAATCCTCTCTAAGATTATAACCCCTCTAGTGCTTTAAATTCTTTACAGTAAACCAAGGCAGTTCTGGCTTTTTCATTTCATTTGCTGCGTGCCAACTTTTTTTTCCCTCTCTTTTTTTATTTCATCATAGTATGGGGGTACAAATATTGTTAAGGTTACATATATTGCCCATGGTACCCCTCCCCGCCCACCGAGTCAGAGCTTCCAACGCATCCATCCCTAGATGGTGCACATCGCACTCATTATCTAAGTATACACCCCCCCTCCCTCCCCCCTCCCACCTTCCCAACATCCGATAAATGTGTTTGTTTTTTTGACATTTTGGTTACATTTTATATCTTTGCCTCTCCCTAGGAAGGGTTAGAAGTAGGCCTTTCCCCTCCACAATGCTCACCACATCCCTAAGATGTGGGTCTAACCGCTCTCCCGAATCCCTGGTGAGCACCACCACCATTTGAGCACCATAGTGTTAATCAGTCAGTACCAATTTGATGGCGAGTACATGTGGAGCCCATTTTCCTGATCTTGTGTTGTCTCACTTTGGATAATGGGCTTAAGCTTAATCCAGGATAGTATTAATGGTGCTAGCTTGCTGTTGTTTCTTAGAATTGAGTAATATTCCATTGTGAACATATACCAAATTTTAATAATCCACTCATGAATTGATGGGCACTTGGGTTGTTTCCATGTCCTTGCAATAGTGAATTGTACTGCCATAAACATTCAGGTGCAGATGTCTTTTTTTTTTTTTAACATTTTTAAAGGAGATTTATTTGAGAAACATAAAAACATGACAGAGCACTTCATACGCCACTTTACACTAAAAATAGGTAAAAATAATATACATATTTTTGCAAGCACAAACACTCAGGTATACTAATGATAGTCATATGGGTGTAACAGTTATGAGCAAACAAATCATAAATAAATACATAAAAATCAAAATGTACAAATGCCTATCACTATGGTTAGTAATTGTGTGTACCCAGCTTTATAACCATGGTCATCTGAAATACTGTGATGGACAACCTAAGTCTTGATGAAATCAATTAAAAACCACAGTGGATAACCACTGCATATGCAGTTACCCAATGAGCCAAGATCTTGAGGAATTTTTATCTTTCACAGATACAGAATGTATACAAAGGCTATCTCTTCATTTATTGAGGAAGTTTCAATGTTTTTACATACATACACAACATTTATGCACAAAGTCAATGTTGTGGTAATGCACTTTCATGAAGCCAAATTTGAGAAAATACATAAAAAAAAATAGAAATCTAAAAGTCTTTACACAGTTATACCTCCAGTATTAAAAACATGCAGCAAATTGTAAAAAGTAATGCTATAAATTTAAAATAATGAAAAAAAAACTAAAAAAGCAAAAAAAAAAGAAAACAGTATTCATATCTGACATATGAATAAGTATATTAGAGGCATAGATTATGGGCAATTGCACAGAGGTAGTCTCTAAGAGATGGCAAACTTTCACAATCATTAATTATATTTTCAAGCATTGCATCTTGATAAATAACTGCTTTTTTTCCCCAAGACCTGGCTGTCTTTGGAGAATACATTCACATTCATTTTCTTTTACTTTTATTTTTTTATTTTAGCATATTATGGGGTACAAGTGTTAAGGTTACATATATTGCCCATGCCCCCCTCTACCCTTGAGTAAGAG